TATTAACCAAGGCTGACCCTACTTATCTCCCAAGATCAGACAGGGTCTCTCCTTTACAATTGCACAAATCCCCCAGCCAGCAGGGAGGATTGACACCTATAGAACTTAGTAGCATGCCCAGTGGCATTGCCCCAAGTGTCACTACTGTTCTAGAGGAAATAACTCCTTCCTCTCTGCCACTGCCTGAAGCAGCAATGATAACCAATGTGCCAGTCACTTTTATCTGGAAATGTCCGAAGAGTACCAGTTCAACAGCCACATTCATTTACTGTTTCATTTCCTTTCATTGTTGCTTTCAACAATAGTGTTAAATGTGATGTGGTTCCTGATGACAAGCATTGATTAATTTATATTACCACAGGTCACCGAACAGCTGTCAGATGATAACTGTTCGGTAATCGATATTAGGCCTTGTTGGCAATACATAAGCAATTTCTCAGTTAACTTCAAGCTGAAGCATAAATTCAGCATGGACTGTTTTCCAAACAGATATATATCTCTATAACTGATGACAGCTGATTTGCACATAGGAAAACGACACCATTAAAATGCAGGGTGAGAAGCAGCAAGCCTTCAGAAAAACATGAGCCTTTTACTTTGGCCTGAATTGCTTGGCAGTGGTTAAGGAATACTCTTCCTGCCCATAAGTTAGTAACTGGCAGGAAATTTGGATGCATGTTATTTTATTAAGCAAAGCACTGACCAAAACATTTGCTCTAGGGGCAAAGGGCAAGATAGCCCACTCCCTACTGCACTCCACACTGATGGGAGTGCTGGCTGAAATTTTCTTTGACATAGGTAACATAACAGTTTTTCCACTATATCTAAACATAGCTTTGGTGTACAGAGTCCCTGTATGAGGCAAAAAGATAAAAATAAAGTAAATAAAAATAAAACAAAACACAGGGTAGGTAGTAAATGGAAGCACACAGCTCTGCTCCCAAACAGTTTGCCACTCTTTTATTCATGCTGTAGGATCCCCCGGTGGTGCAATGGGTTAAACCCTTGTGCTGGCAGGACTGAAGACCGACAGGTCATAGGTTCGAATCCAGGGAGAATGCAGATGGGCTTCCTCTGTCAGCTCCAGCTCCCCATACGGGGATATGAGAGAAGCCTCCCACAAGGATGGTAAAACATCAAAACATCTGAGCATCCCCTGGGCAATGTCCTTGCAGACAGCTAATTCTCTCACACCAGAAGCGACTTGCAGTTTTTCAAGTCACTCCTGACACGAAAAAAAAATCATACTGGGTCAACTGAGGTAGATGCCTCCTTTTGCCTAGTGGAAGAGGTGGCTCTGATAAAATATCTCATTCTCCTTCACTCAAATGTGTGAAGAAACAGTCAAAGGCTCTTAAGTATCTCCATCCCAATGCAGACACTTCACAGGGGCTTCGGTCCAACTTTTGCCTTTATTGCCATTTGCAATAGCAAAGGTTAGCCAGCCTTTTGCTGGTGTCTTGTCTGGTTTGGCCATGAGTGGAGCCAATGCTGCTGGTTTGTGCTCAGTTCAAAATGCAGCCCTTATTTAAAATTATTTGCAGACAAGGGCAATAAAACCTTAGGGAACAGAGATGGCCTTCTTTTGCTTGAGGGAGGAAGGAGGGAGGGAGAAGCAGAGTATGCTGCATCGCTTAGTACAGTTTGGCCTCTGTCCCATTTAAGGCCTCAGGCTCAAGTATAATGCATTTGCTCTCTACTCTCAAATAATAACAAGTCTAGATTGCTAATTTGAGAAGCTAACTTTTTTTTAAAAAGTATGTGGCAAGCTTTTCATTATGACAAGAAGAATACATTTTGAAAAGCCCCTCCTAGTACATTCTCTTTTGGAAATCCATGGGACAGGGATTGTTTTGTTTTCATAATGGCTCTGTGGGTCTGGGTGAACTTTTGCTTATGAAGCAGAATAGAAAGGTTCTGGAGACAGAGATGAGGAAATGATTGGCAGGTCTGTTTTGTTGCCATGGAGAAATCACTCTGAATGCTTCATCAGACAATGGACCACACTCTCTGGGTGTTAGCTGCTTGTGCCTTCTGCCAGTTGGTGTGACACATGCTTCCAGTTTCCTCCCTTGACAAAGTGGGAATCCATATATAACAGTGATCACCTCTGTCAAGAAGGGATAGGAAAATTATTTTGGGCTTTTCCGTAGATCATTAAGAAATAGGATACCATGAATAGGATTTCTGGGCTTTTTGCCTCCTTCATGGTTGAGTGAAAACATAGGAACTGAAAAATGACAGAACTGAATACCATTCACTGAATGGAACAATATGGCAGCTCTAGTAACAGCAGCAATAATAGCAGTAGTAACAATTGTAATGTAGTTTCATAGCGCTCTATATGTATCTAAGAGATGTCTGTCTATATGTATTTGACTTAAATACATTTTTTTCCAGAACAAGCACTCACAACATGATTATAGGAAGATATAGATAACAAAAAAAAACCCACCAGAAAAAGTAACTACTACTACTACTACTACTACTTAACTCTACTACTTTATTTTTGTATCCCACCTCCATCTCCCCGAAGGGACTCGGGGTGGCTTACACATGGCACAAAGTGCCTAAAACAACACATAAAATAAAACAAACATACAATATACTACAATACAAGATAAACCAGTAGTATACAAAACAACAATTTATAATGCTAAATCACAAGAAATTGTATGTCAGAACACTGTTAATGGGAAAAGGCATTCAAAAGTATAGGAGCAATCTGTTAAAAATCCCTTTTAGAGCAGTCAGTGCATTACTAAAAGCCTGTCCAAATAAAAAGCCCCTTCCCTTCTGATAGAAGAATGTTAAGCACAAGGCAGCTTAGCCTCTATTGGCAGGGAGTTCCACAGCTCAGGGAGCAGACCTTGGGCAAGTAGCCCAGCTTTCTATTCACAAAATAACTATGCAATTAAAGCGGCATGATAAATATAGTATTTCTGGAGTGGTGTACAGAATGGTAGATGTCATAGACTACGGATTCAGAGATCCAAGTTCAATTCCTTAATGTAGCTATAAAGCCTACTGGGCAAATTTTAATCAGAAACTCTCAAATTGGGCTGTGAATCCTATATCAGTGCAGCTCAGTGCCGTGGTCTGTGGACTCGTGCTGGTCTATGAGTCATCAGCTGTTTGTTTAGGAAGAAAAAAACCAATGGGCACAAAATGAGGCACTTGTCCCAGGCTCTTAAGGGGAGAAGGAAGGTTAGTTCATTTCATTTCACAGCACAAAAAGCATTGTCCTGTCTTGTAGAAAATAGCAGAGGAGCTATAATTGCCTGATCTGGGGATATGTATCTAAGATCTCCAGAATAAACAATCCTCCCCTCATCATAGCTTTCACAGATGAGACAAGTGATTTGTCCTGGGTCGCCAGTGGATGACTCCAAGAATGGTTCTTCACCTCACCGTCACCCAGAGGAAATTATCACAATTCTGACACAATAAACTGAGAAGAATGGGAGGGGTATGCACAATGAATTTTCATCATAACCTTTAGGTCCCCTTTATCTGGTTTACCTGATATAATCTGGGATAGCCTGGAAATGCTCCCTTTTCCAGGTCTCTGTATCAGACCCCTATGGAAAGACCCATTGATTTGGCCAACACTTTGAAGCACCCTATTGTTTGTCAAGCCTAATACCATTGTCCACACCAGAGCTGGAGATATTGGGAGCCATCATCCCATTATCACCAGACACACCACATTCCTTCTCAATTGTGCCCTTCTCCTGGGTGGATCAATAAATGGACTGACATGTCAAATGCTCCAATAAAAGTTCATTAAATTTCCTGTCACTATGAAGAGCCAACCGGCAATGATGTAGGACAGAGTCCTGAACCACTCAGAACATGGATCCTAGCTGTACAGTTTCTAAGCTAATCATGAGCTGGCATAGGTTTCTTGCATAGCTGTCAAATGAAATAAAATGCTCTGTATTTGTAATTGCGGCATGTCAGTAATTTGGAGTGCTTTCTCTCTGGCCATTGAGAATAAGCCTCCGATTTTGCTTTCAACCCATCTGTTTCTCATTCAGCCTTCTGGAAAGCTAGACATGCCAGTCTCCATACCTGGGGCTTTTGCGGATGCTGAAATCACACAGTGCAAACAGACTTCAAACTTCAAATGTAGTTTGCACTCAATTTATCTTGTCTTTTGTAAAATGCTCAAGCAAAAGGAAACTGCTGCAGCCTTTCCTGGGGTGTATGTTTTTCCTTGTTTATAACTTTTGCCATCTGGATGTTGCTTGGTTACATGTGTCCCAGTTTTCATCTGTGAATTGTTGCGGGGGGTATTGTATTATTACTCAACAACTATAGCAAATATAAAAGAAATTGCCTAGTTTTCCACTGTTCTTTTCTTACAGGGTTTCAACAACCACATAAGCAAGTTATGTATTTTCCTTACTTCTCAGTCACATAGTCATTTCCACACAAATTAACTTGTCAAAACTACGTCTCCCTCAGAATAGATTCTAAATATCTGTTCTGCCTGGGGCTGGATGCAAACCAGATCAGTGTTTCAGAGCTGAAAGTGGTACTTAAGAAATAATATTATACATGGTATACCCTTTTATTTCTGCTGTCATTTCTGTGCAGCAAATTCTAGTCTCCCATTTGGCAGACCAACACTTAATGCTTCCCAGTAGTTTATTGCAGAGGTGGGCAAACTTGTGACTCCTTGGATCTAAGCTGGAATGCATTAAGGCCGTTACAAATGTATAGCTTACAGTGGCAGTTCTCAAAGTATGCTCTGTGGACCCCTTCAGGCTCTGCGAAGCCTACTAAGGGGCTCTGTACTTCCCACCTTCTCTTTCCCTTCTCTAGTCCAGCCTGATCATTGCTCCTGTGCCCCCCAACCCAACCTGCCTGCCTGCTTGCCTTTGTGTAAAGGATTGTCCTTCTGTGACCACTGTACAAGCCTAGTATCACCTTCTTTCCCTCTCTCTCTTTCCTTATTATTTCTCTCATGTCCCTCCTCCTCCTCCAAGCCTTACCAGATTCAGTTCTGTTGCTTTTAGAAGGAAGCTTCTTTTGTTTCAGAAAGCAGTAGAGTTTTCCAAAGGTTTCAGGATTGAGCAAATCCCAGGAATATCTCTAGTACTGATTGTCACATCACCAACTTTACCTTTTAAAAAACTTTTATCTTCATCAGGATGTTGACTAGATGGTTCTTCAGACAGAGGATATTTCACATGTTTAATTTAGTGGCTTAATTATTACATTTCATTATAGAGCATCATATGTGGCTGAAGGTTTCTGGGTAGTTCACAAAACAAACCATCAAATACAAGGAAAAAAAAGTATTATTAGGCTACATCAACTGAATTAATTATTAAACAATAAATCAACAGATTGGCAAGGCTTATCGATGCAGTGGGTCTACTCTAGTTAGGCTTAACCAATAGAATGTAGATCATGGAAACTTTAAAGCAATAGACCAAAGTGAAAAAAGTAAAGTGAAACAAAAATTAGCATAAATGTAAATATCTAAGAAATCACTCATAGTGCATCTGCACTGTAGAATTAATGCAGTTTAACATTGCTTTAACTGCCATGGATCAATGCTATAGAATAATAGGATTTGGAGTTTTACAAAGCCTTTAGCATTCTCTGCTAAATAGTACTGGTACCTCACCAAATATTCTATAAATATTTTAGTCTTTGGAGTTTAAAAACAAACTCCAAAGACTAAAAAGAATGAGAATTCCTTGAGCCTCAGAGGACCCATCTGGTGAACAGCAAACAGGAGTCAGGGAGTACCCCAAAGGCTTTGCTACACTGGATAAGAACATTCTCTCTGTTCAGAGAAAATGACTGGATTGGCACTTGGAGGATGTAGTGTGTAGTTTCTATTGGGATGGCGAAATCCCTGTTATCTCCCACCACTGATCAGAGATAACTGCATCTTCTCTTAGGGCCAGTGCTTCTCAGGCTTTCTGATGTAGGGAACTGGAAATTACTTTTTTCATCATGCCAGGGCTACAGTTTTTATCTTTCCTGAAACTTCACTGGGGATGGGCAAACAATGGCTTATGAACCAACAGTGGTCCAGGATCTATCATTTTGAATAGCACTGTCTTAGGATCCCTTTCATTGTTCTAACAGAAAAGTAGAATTACACTGAGTGAGATGTAATGGACTACAAATTCTATTGATTTCAATTAGTGTGACCTTGCTGGATGGGGAAGATGGGAATTGTAATACGACACATTCCACAAGCAGATTTTCAAAGGCTGTCTTGAACAATCACTATCACGTCTAAGCCTCTGGTGGGTTGCAGTAATCTCAGAAGGTCATAGGAAATAACTTGCTCAGGGGTAATTAGCACCAAATCAGTACTAGGAAATGACCTAAAAAGTATCTCCAGCATCATGAGAAATGCAGTGAGTTCTTTGGAGTGTATTTGAAACTGCAGACATGTGCTGGGTAACAGAAAATAAGCTGTAGTACTATGTGAGGCTAGAAAATAGACCTCTTTTGAAGGCACTAATAGAAAATCTCTTTTTGTATATCCCACATGCATCTCCCCCCCCCCTTTTTTTTTTACTGGCATGTAACCCTTAACGGACTTTGCAGAAGCAAGAGGAACGCAACTGCAATGTAATTAACACTGCAAATACTTGTTTTCCCCTTAGAGAGTTATATCATTAGCTGCTTCAATTGTGCATGAAATATAAATTACATTGCTCAGAGGCATCACGTCTTAAGAGACACAATCCTAAGTGATGGGGCTTGCCAGTGCAGATGATACTTCCTGGTCCAAAGCAGCAGAAGGTCAGCTGTACAAAGGTTGCTTATTTTCACTATTGTTGTTCATCTTCTTTCTGGTCTGTAGGAATTTTCCTTGAGAAAACAACACGAAGAGGCACTATACAGCTTAGCTGTAGAAACAGAGAATTCTGGATGTGTTTTGGATTTATCTGCTCAGGAAAAATATATATCATTTTTTGTCTTTTTGTGGCTTCATAGTGCCAGAATATCACATTTAATTTTTATTCCCTATGCACAAAAACAATTCTGCACTGTATTACACAATGGTTTCCCATGCCATACTGAAAAATTGTTTTCTGAGAAGGGGCTAAAATCAGTAAATCATGTTTGCAGAAGCTTCCAGGAGGTATGATTTGGGGCTATCCTTGAAAAAATACTAGGAACCCTTTTCCTTTTTTCCTTTAAACACTATTTTTTATTCAGAAGTTAAGAAAAAATAAACATCAATGCAAGGAAAGCAAAATCTATCTGTCTGTCTGTCTGTCTGTCTGTCTGTCTAAATCTGTTTTTGTGGGGTTGCCTTTGAAGACTGTTCGGAAGCTTCAAATGGTCCAATGGGCAGCAGCCAGGTTACGAACGGGAGCAGCGCTCAGGGAGCACACAACTCCTCTGTTGTGCCAACTCCACTGGTTGCCAGTTTGCTATTTATTATTTGTTTCACAGTTTTCTATACCGAGCTTCTCAACCTCATTGAGGGACTCAGCCCGGTTTCCAGCCATAAAAAACATATACACTCATTAAAATATCATATATCACAATTACAAAAACAACTTTAAAATAACACTATATATAAAACTACAGTGGTCAGTCATCCTATTAAGATGGATCTACATCAACTTGAGGAGACAGGAAAGCCTAGAGAAGACAATTATGCTGGGGAAAGTGGAAGGCAAAAGGAAGAGGGGCCGACCAAGGGCAAGATGGATGGATGGCATCCTTGAAGTGACTGGACTGACCTTGAGGGAGCGGAGGGTGGTAACGGCCGACAGGGAGCTCTGGCGTGGGCTGGTCCATGAGGTCACGAAGAGTCGGAGACGACTGAACGAATGAACAACAACAACATCAACTTCCATCCAGGGTCCTATGGTGTTGTCTCATTCATCGAAGGCCTGACTCCACAGCCACGTCTTCGCCCGTTTCCTAAATGTTAGGATGGATGGGGCGGTTCTGGCCTCCAGAGGGAGAGAGTTCCAGAGTCGCGGGGCCATCACCGAGAAGGCCCTGTCCCTCGTCCCCACCAGGCGCGCTTGCGAGGCCGGTGGGACCGAGAGCAGGGCCTCTCCAGACGATCTTAATAATCTTGATGGTTCATAGGGGAGAATACGTTCGGAGAGGTAAACAGGGCCGGAGTCGTTTAGGGCTTTATAGGTCAACACCAGCACTTTGAATTGTTATTTATATTTATGCTACCGGGCATAATTCCAAGTGAGGGCTTTAGCCTATAAAGCCCCAAATGGTTCTGGCCCAGCTTACCTGTCTGAATGTATCTCTCCTTATGAACCATCTAGAAACTTAAGATTGTCTGGGGAGGCCCAGCTCTCGATCCTGCCTTCCTCACAGGTGCGTCTGTTGGGGACAAGAGACAGGGCCTTCTCAGTGGTGGCTCCTCGGCTGTGGAACTCCCTCTCTAGGGATATTAGATCCGCCCCCTTCCTCCTGACTTTCCAAAAAAAGTAAAAACTTGGCTCTTCAAACAAGCTTTTGGAAATGCAGGTTATAGGTAAACATGAAACTATGAAGAATGAACATGGAATGGCTAGATGATGCTACTAGAAAATGAGTTTAACAGGACAACATGGGTGATTATATGTTTTAATGGTTTTATATGTTTTTTATAATGTTATGCTGAATGTTTTTAATTGTATTTTTTATGAACGTGTGGCATCGAATTGTTGCCTATTTGTAACCCGCCTTGAGTCGCCTTAGGGCTGAGAAAGGCAGGCTATAAATACCATAATTAAACAAATTAAAAAAAATTCTTTGCATTGAGATTATATATATGTATATAAAACTGCATCTTATAAAATATAATGTTAAAAATGCTAACTTAAGACAAACCTAAACACATGTTAAACACACAACTACAAAAAACCATTCCACAAAGCTCACACTCATTGTCTGTTGATTTTTACCCCCTATCATCCCACCCTGGATAATACCGATAATACTGGTATATAACCACATTCCAGCTTTTAGTAACATTTCTCTAATTCATAAAAGCAACAGTTTGACATTTGTCTCCATTGTTGATGTGAAAAAAGAATAAACAAGTCCCAATCTTTTTAAAAGTTTGTCAAAGATTTTTCCTTGATCAACGCCAGTTTGTTCATCTCAGATAATTTGCCATTCTTCATCAGCCATTCTTCTTGCATTCAGATAACTGGTTCCTTCCATTTCCGTGCATAGTTTTTTCTCACTGCAGTTATCATATATTGTAGTAATCTTCCATATTTTCTTTCTAGCTGATTGTCCAGCATTCCTATAAGGCTACATAAACACTCATTTCTGAGGAAGTGGAAAACCTGTTCATGCATAATATGGTGGGATATTCCCTCCCATTTGCCTGGGCTTTTTCCTGCGGTCTCTCAATAATGAGGTAATACAGAATCCGTGTGTGCTGAACAAATCCTTAAAGGCAATCTTTAATAGGAGCAGCAGGCTGTAGGAAGTTGAAATTTCTAGAAGAGCTGGCGAGGAGTGATTAACTAGCTCTTACATATGTGCTTTACATGCTTAAGGGATGGATAATGTAATAACTAGGCATTTACTAGTCAATCAAGCAGGCTGTATCAAATAACAACAAGAACAGTAATAATTATGTGGCTTTCATTAGTTCCAGTTTTCTTTAAAAGGTTGTGCAAGGTCAGCTTGTGCCTAGAGAAAGACCGGAAAGTTTCTTAGAATGCTTAGGAAACTGCTTCCTTGTTAGGATGACGTGATCTCCCCCACTTTGCCTGTGGAAGTGTCAGCACTTACAGAACAAAAGAGAATGAATGCTTCAAGATAAAAAGGGTCTCGTTTTGAGAGAGGATGGAGTTTTGACTGTAGTCCAATCCAGGAGTCCATTTTGTTGCAGAATCATCTAGTTCTTTGTACAAACGCAAGTAAATAGCAGCTGTGATGAACAGCAGCTTAAATTTACGGAAGAGACATGAGCTAATTTTGCTTTTATGTCACATTGCTGCATCAAGCTCAACATCTTTGTGAAATCAATAAACTATTGTTTTGGCACACCTATCATTTTATTTCATTTTGACAGACCCCCCAGCCCTAGGTCTCATCCACACTAGTAAAAAACAAAAAAATCTGTTCCAGTATTACCTGAACACACAGCATATGGCCATGTTAACAGTGAAAGTGAACCTTTTAAGCTTTAATTCAATTTTTAAGAAAATCACTCCTTACTCCATAGTTTACAGGAAAAGTGGGGTTTGTTTTTTGTTTTTTTGCTATGTATGTCCAATCTGGTTCAAAGTGGCATGGAGAAGGGCAGACTGGTGGTTGGTGTGTT